CCTGTCCTCTTGCTTTCGAAGCAGAAGAGACCTGGAATACTCTCTGTGAAGTGTTCTCAGGCCCTGGAAGAGATGTAGCACCTCGCTTCACCCCAAAGTGATCCTTTTGGCCAATTAAGGACAGGTATTGATGGACTCTGAAGAGAGTCAAGTCCTGGCCTTGACGGCTGGGAAAATGATAACTGAAATGGAACCTTGCGCATGAGAGATTAACTCAAGGAAATAACTGGCTCCCAACTATTAGAAACACAGTGATTCCTGCAAATTGTTCCTGCTCATCTGAGGTTTTCACATATATACTGTCAACCTATCTGTCTTATGATTTTATACTGCCACCCATCACCATGCTATCAGAGGCCCAGATCCTGAAAGGTATTTAGGCTCCTAACTTCAATTGAAATCAATGGGACTTAGGACCTAAATACCTTTGAGGATCTGGGCCTGAGTGTCTAGTATATCTTAGTAGGAAACCTACAATTTCAGTATATTTAAAAACATATCACTTTTGTAGCTTTTGGTTTCTAAGACTGTGGCCTAATGTCATGATGGTCACTTGACAATACATTTTAGCTTTTATTGATCCTAAATGGGGCAGGAAGGACAGAGATCCTTCAGTCTTTTCTGTTTTCTTTTCTCCTTTACTTCCCTCTGCACTCACATTCAGAATAACCATCCCTCCAACTGAGGAAAGCTGGACATGACGCTCTCAGAAACTTTTCAAGAGTGTTCTGTACATCAGGCAGACTCATACACAACAGGCTGGAATAGTTCAGGTTCTATACTTTAGTAAGATAGCAGCAGGAGCCTTTTGTGTCCCATTGTTGCTAATGTGCAGCAAGATCAGTGTGAGTGGCTACTCCGTAGAGGATCCTTCTTTGACTGGGAAGGCATCAGATCTATGTGGCAGCCCCCTACATTATGGATGGACACAGCAACTGACCCCCTACTACAAGAAGTACCTGAGTGGAGGTGTGGATAAGCTTTTTTTCCTTTGAGTGGGGGGAGGGATGAGAGTTAATTTCATAAGCCAGCCCCAGAGGTTTTGGTTCAGAAACAGACAAAGTATAAAGAATCCCAGAAATACAGATGGAGTTTGGTCTAGCACTCCGGGTGCACCCATAAGTGTTATGGACTTCAATATAATTTTTAATATACTAACAATGAAATATCAGGCCCTCATTATCCTTCCTTGTCCAGCTGTAAGGCATTTATTGATGAGATTTAGAACTCCAGAGGTGATTCCTTTGAACCCTAAAGTTTAAATGCCAAAAGTTTCTTATTAGCCAGTTTTCCTGTACAAAACTTATGTAAATAATCCTGAGGTTGGCAGGCATGTGCTGTTCTGAATCACTTCTGAAATAGGCCATTTTAATTTTCCTGTGCAGAAATGCATAGCTTGTTCTTCTAAGACCATATTTTGCCCCAGTTCTGAACTATTTCCACTGTGCCTCAAGTGGAGCCTCAAGAAGCCTGACAGCAGGGTAGTTGGACACTTATTGATGGGTCTAATACCTGAGATTACTTTATACATTCCTGACCAGACTTCTGGGCAAGTCTCAGATGTTAACCATTTTCTGTTCAATATACTGAAATCTTTTATAAGCCTGCAGCATAGCTATCTCAGACCGGCAATTGTGATATAAGAATGTGGAGGTGTGGGGTTTTTGTTTAAAACAAATTTATTTTGGCCCCCTGCTGTAAAATCCTAGTAAAAATACATGTATGTCCTGAATATTAATTAATGGACTCAGGGAGCCGTTTCTCAATTACATATACCAGCTCTGTCTCTGTTTTCTCTTAGAAAGACACAATTCTCCTAAGAGATAAAGACTGATTTCTCTTTGCTTTAATTGGAAGCAGGACTAGTACTTGGTCTGATGCTCCAAATATTCAAATTTCCATCATGAGTGGGTGGGTTACTCTTTAGAATTGTTCAGGATTTGATTCTGGTGTTTCAATATTTTAGCCAATTACAACACAGATATTCCTTTCAAAAAACGGTTTAATATTGAAGGTAACATTACATTTAATCACCATGCTAGATCATTCAAGGAAAGAAATACACAATCATAAAAATAATCCATTTTAGGAGATGTCTCCCTCCCCTCCCCCCACCATGATCCTTTACAGTATTTTTAAGAAATAAATTTTTTCATTGAGATTTTTACCCTCTTTCCCTGTATTTTCTGGATCTCCTTTCTCTGCTGTAGGTGCTTGTAATGTCAGGGGAAACAATGAATTTTGAATTGAGACTTGGGAGATCTGATCACATAGTCTATTCTTGGGGGCAAACCTCCCACTGAAACCAAGAAAGATCAAAGTGCAGAACGAGGGCTTGCTGGTGAGTGGTAAGGAAATAACAGACTTCAAGATTTTAGAAAGTCATGAGAGAAACACTGCGAGGAAAACCTCATTAAGTTTTCCTTTATTTTGGCCCTTTCAGTGAATTTTGTCCTGGGTGATATAACCCAGTAATCTCCATCCCACTCATCTAAGTAGTACATGGACTGTTGGAAGCCAAAACATCAAAAGGGCACTTTTAAACTAGTTCAAAGCTCAAAGTTTACGTCTCTTAAAAATAAATAATTATATAAAAGCTAGCATCCAATAGAGGTCTTGCCACTGAATTCAGTGGTAGCAGGATCTGACCTCCTATTATGATAAAAATCTTGTCACTTATTTCCCATACCCTCAAATGTCAATGAAAACAGTCTTTTGAAAAAATATGGACTTTTCTCTGCAGTAGGTGTGAACCTAACTCAACCATATTTTGTTAGTTCACAAGAAACAAAAGGGGAAACTGACCAGTTTAGTGACACTGTCCAAGCTATGTGAAATAAAAAAAAATGTTTTTTTTAAAACAAGAGCTTAAAAATGAAAAGTACATTAGATTTTTTAAATGTGTTCTGCATTGATAATTTAAGTGTATATTTAAAGGCCAAACGTGAAGAAACAAGAGCTAAAAAAGAATACAATAAAACAATAAGCACAAAAATAGGCAATGCATTTCATAAAATACACTTGGTCTAAAGCCACAGAAGCAATTCAAATATTTCTTGATAAGGCAGCTTCATATCCTAAAACTTGTGGGGAAAAAAGTATAATATTCAAAGAAGGCCAGATCCTTTCCAGTCTTTTCATCTTTTTAGAACTTTCTGCTGGGTCTTTCCATGAAAACATCATTACCCCTACCTTTCAATTTAAATCTGAACTCAAATAAGCACACTTCAAGTACAAGTTTTGCATTCAGCCACACTCGATAAGCATTTGTTTACAATAGGACTTTTCAAATCTATTCATCGATTTTGATAGGGGTCTTTAGACAGTGTTTTTAAATAATTTTTAATTTGGAAAACTTGCAGATCACTAAAAGAAAAGGAGTACTTGTGGCACCTTAGAGACTAACCAATTTATTTGAGCATGAGCTTTCGTGAGCCACAGCTCACTTCATCAGATGTTTACCGTGGAAACTGCAGCAGACTTTATATACACACAGAAATCATGAAACAATACCTCCTCCCACCCCACTGTCCTGCTGGTAATAGCTTATCTAAAGTGATCAACAGGTGGGCCATTTCCAGCACAAATCCAGGTTTTCTCACCCTCCACCCCCCCACACAAATTCACTCTCCTGCTGGTGCTAGCCCATCCAAAGTGACAACTCTTTACATAATCAAGTCGGGCTATTTCCTGCATAGATCAAGGTTTTCTCACATCCCCCCCACCCCCATACACACACAAACTCACTCTCCTGCTGGTAATAGCTCATCTAAACTGACCACTCTCCAGGTTTAAATCCAAGTTAAACCAGAACATCTGGGGGGGGGGGGGTAGGAAAAAACAAGAGGAAACAGGCTACCTTGCATAATGACTTAGCCACTCCCAGTCTCTATTTAAGCCTAAATTAATAGTATCCAATTTGCAAATGAATTCCAATTCAGCAGTTTCTCGCTGGAGTCTGGATTTGAAGTTTTTTTGTTTTAAGATAGCGACCTTCATGTCTGTGATTGCGTGACCAGAGAGATTGAAGTGTTCTCCGACTGGTTTATGAATGTTATAATTCTTGACATCTGATTTGTGTCCATTTATTCTTTTACGTAGAGACTGTCCAGTTTGACCAATGTACATGGCAGAGGGGCATTGCTGGCACATGATGGCATATATCACATTGGTGGATGTGCAGGTGAACGAGCCTCTGATAGTGTGGCTGATGTTATTAGGGGGTGGAGGGTGAGAAAACCTGGATTTGTGCTGGAAATGGCCCACCTGTTGATCACTTTAGATAAGCTATTACCAGCAGGACAGTGGGGTGGGAGGAGGTATTGTTTCATGATTTCTGTGTGTATATAAAGTCTGCTGCAGTTTCCACGGTAAACATCTGATGAAGTGAGCTGTGGCTCACGAAAGCTCATGCTCAAATAAATTGGTTAGTCTCTAAGGTGCCACAAGTACTCCTTTTCTTTTTGCGAATACAGACTAACACGGCTGTTCCTCTGAAACTTGCAGATCACTGTTCAGGATCATGATCATGTATTTCCATGGACTAAGCTGATACATCCAATATAGGTTGTTGTTTTGAGTATTGAGGTGCTGTATTTGGTGTGTGAGAATTCAATGTTGTGTTCACCTCATAACAAAAGAAGCTCTAGCATTCTAGTGGGCAGTGCAGTATTTCTGCACTTGCCTGTAGGCCTAACTGCTAATTTTGAAGTCCAGTCACTCTGTGCTCAAACAACATTGTTTACTACAAAATGTTCTGCAAAAACTATGGCTAAAATTGCTCAGTGGTCAGTCATGTTTCTTGAAATTAATTTTCAGACTGAGTAGCTGAATATCTCTCCCATCTGCCACAAGTTGCCCACAACCTTTTGATAAACAATCAATAAATTTTAAAATATGCACTTCTTTAGATGCATTTTTATTTTGAATAACTTGAACTGATGTTCTCACCCTTTGTCATCATAGAAATGGCTATAAAATGTCTTACAACTTTCTCATAGGAGAGCTGCCTATGCAACTGGAAATGGATAATGGCATACAATGGACCTCCAAGGTAATGAAAAACTACTTAACCGCAAATAAGAAAACCTCTCTACCCTACCCAGAATTCAATGGGTATCTGTGAAGCAGTATGTGTGAAAAGACTGACCAAAGGGCTTAAAATTAGCAAGCAAGTTAGTGAATAGCTTGCAAATGTACCATTTTCCAGATGTAAGTATGCTTTGTGCCTTACGAATACACTTTGAAATACACTTTTCCCTGCACTAAGGAATCAAGCCTTGTGAGAGAAAATAAGCAGGGGTTGAAGGGTGTAGAATTCATCCCAAAATCCTAACACAGACTCTAGGGCTACAGCAGAACCTCAATGCAGTTGCTATATCAGCTAGGGGAGAGACCCCCCCAATGAAACTGCTCCAGAAGTGTTACAGAGCTTACCTGGTGCAGAAAATCTTGTGTGGGTCCGTCACTCTTGCTGAGAAAGTGTTTAACTGAGGAGCTGGGGATAGGAAGGTTTTCACCCATACAGCCAAACCCTGGTCTCATGGAAATCAATGGCAAAGTTCCCACACTCTCTTCCAGAACTAGGATTTTCCCAATATTCAGTGAATATCTATTGCACATTGTCATCAACCATAATAGTTTATTTTTTTCAAATCAGCTGATTGAATTCAGTGCAGAAGCTCACCATGCTTCCCTTAAGGTGACTTTTGTTTCATCCTTTAATATCTAATAGATTCACTCTCTTTACCTCTCTTTCAGGTTCACATTTGACTTCTGTTCCACTTTCCTATTACTGGTAATTTCAGAGAGCCACACAGAAAACTCCAGTGTATCTGGGGTGTTAAGACCAAGTTCCCCTCAAATCTTAAACATTAATAATTGTTGTTGTTGTTGTTTTACGTATTAGTTCCCTCACTATATCTTGGGCAATAAAGACATGGAAAGCCAATAAAGACAATCCTATCAACATTCAAAGAAGGTCCAATACAACAAGTGGGGGGAAATAAATGAGAGGGAAGGGTAATAAATTGAGGACCAATACTGGTCTCTTTTAAAAAGACCTTTGAAAAGAAATATTGTAGGTATTGTTTCAAAATGGAGAGGGACGGGCTGACGGATTTCAGGGCCAACAACTTCCATGTTCTAGAGTTTATCACGTAAGGTGTGATGAGGAGACCTCTAAATTACAAGTGGTGTATGAGGGCAGATTTCTGTCTGATCAAGGCTGAAGGAGATCTGAGATGAAGCCAGGGAATCTTATTACCTCTATACCTAGCCATATTTTGCCTATTAATTTTTTTATTTTTCTAAGTAAAAGAAGAATTTGATCTGAATCTTTCCCTAAAACTTGTATCAAACTTCTCTGGAGGTCTGAAATAGCTCCATTAACTTTTTAAAATAAGATTTTTATGGTCCTCTGCATTTCCTGAGTTCTGCTAGGCCCAATGCAGAAGTACTGAAATACTGTGCCAAAACCTTTTCTTCCAGTATTTTCATCCCATTAGAAACCAGGAAGTGATGTGAATACTGCAAGCAAGTCTATTCTCCCAAGACTTTCAGTCCAATCTATTGAGTAAAGGGGTTTGGATAAGTTTGATTAAGCTTATAAATGGTTGACTCAGTCCTTCATTCCTCAGAGGCAGATAAATTGAATCATGGGTTCCATAAAGAATAAACCTTGCCAGACAAACTTGATTGCTTTTTTGATAGAATTACAAAATTAGCAGATGATGGGAAAGCAGCAGACATAATATATTTGGATTTCAGTAAAGCACTTGATACTGTGTCTCATACAACCTTACTTTTGACAAATTAATTCAAATTGGCTGGGAGTAGAGCACTGGAATGAAAACAAGCTCAAAAGATTATAAACAAAGGATAAGGACAAATGGCAACATATAGATATCTGCACATACCTTGCCACTGCTTCCTTCCCTCAGTGTGATGGAGATGTCCAGCATTGCCTTGTCCTGGAAGAAGAGGAGACAGGCTGCCAGAGGCCTACTTCTGATGGATCTGGCTGTCTCAGGTGGTCTTGAGGACCTGCTGCAATACTAGTGGGCAGACATGAAGGACTGGTAACGACTCTCGCATGCTGATGTGCTTTGGGCCACAGATACCGACTAGACAGAGGTGAGAATGGCTCCTTTGCAATCTGAGCTGAGGGCCTGGAGAGATGGTATGCTCTTCAAGGCTTCAGCTTTCTTAGTGCTGTATCCACATGCAACACTCCTTAGAGTGACAGCACAGCACTGCACTTTATAGGACTTTCCAGCAGGCTGACACTCAAAAAAGAAGGTAGCTGCTTGCTTGTTCAAAGACTCTTAGGTGGTTCAGGGAGTACATATTTGTCCAGCTGGGAGGAGGAGCAGAACCCCTTTAAAGATGTCTACCTGGAAAACGGAAAAGATACAGGCATCTTTAAAGCACATAGGCCATTTTGAGGACCCACTGGAATTTGGTATCCCAGACATCCTGGACTAATTTGCTGCAGCACTTTAGGGAAGAGAGGGATAACACTCCTAATCCAAAATGTTCTGGTGTGAACTCGCATTATTGCATTTAGTTCTGAGTGCCACATAATCACAAAAATATTGACAATCTGGAGTAGATTTAGAGAAGAGCAACCAAAATAACCAGGTGCTGATGTGATGGCATTAGCCATGGGAAAATATTTAAAAGAGCTAAATATGAAAAGTTTGGCTAAGAGTCAACTTTGGGGAGTTGACAAGATAGCAGTCTACAAATATAGGAAGGGTATAAACAGAAAGGGACCAATCTTGCCATCCAAACTCAGGCAGATTCACATTGACTCCAGTAGTTTTGTTTGAGTAAATAGGGGCAGGATTGGGCCCCAAGGAGCAGAGCGAATTATTTAATTTGAAGCAAGGTGGTATAACTAGGGGGGAAAAGATTAAAGGCAAATTTAGGCTGAAACATAGAAAAAAATTCATGACAGTGAAATCTACAGGACTACTAGGCTGTAGAATAGTCTTTCAAAGGAAATGGCGAAGTCTCATCTATTGGGACATTTAGATCTAGTCTGGATAAAACAGGCTTTTTCAACAGGGATTGCCCTGGCCTTCACTGAATTCTTGAAAGTCACACTATGCACAGAGGGATCAGTGAAGTTTAGGGCCTTGCCTACTCCTCAGGGAAGGCAAATCCCTCATCCCCCCAGTGGAAACATCTTTATTCTGGCCACCTATGTTTTTCCAGAGGAAAGGGGAAACTAGACCTCTGTTTCAGTTCTCTTCTTCCTTTAAGTCTGCCTCTCCCTGCATTTCCATTTTCCTCTCTTTCTCTGTGCCTTTCGTTTCATTGAAAAGGGCCAGATCAGCAGCTGCAGAAGAATTTGATTAGTGCCTTCCTCCTGTACAGAAAGAAGCCTTTTCTCAGTAGCACTGATCCTAGTCAGTTTTACTTTTGAGGCAATACCATTGATAAAATCCTTCTGGACAAGAGCATCCTACAGACCTCAGCTACTGTAAAAGAGGTTGCATCTATCACCTAATCAGAATGGGTTTGGGGCAGGCAGTTCTACTAATTTGTTTATTTCAGTTCAGCTGTTAATCTTTTTAAATACCAAAAGCCTGAATCTGAAAATCCACTGTTTTGCTGAGACCTTTCAAGTCAAAGGTCAAAGGCTATTTTTTATTGATTGTTATAAACCTCCTTATAGAAGTAAAGCTTTAAGTTTTAATATTTAAATACAGTGTTCAAAGTTCCTTTTTGGATTGTGAACCTATTTTAAAGCAGGATGGAAACAGGTCTTCAATCAGCTTCTTGTATACTTCACCTATACTGCCAGAGGCCAAAATAATACCACTTTTTTGGATTAGACAGCCTACAGTGGGGTCACAAACGCTAACTGTACTTAAAAACCTTGGGCCTGACTCTTCAGTCTTTATTCAGACTCAGAGTTCACTGAAAGCAAATAAGATTAGCCATAATAAACAAGCTTAGCATTTGTTTGCAATCTTAGCAATTATAAACAGTTAAATGTATTGGAAAATAAAGGGCCTGAACCTGCTGTTCTTCTTCAGACTAGTGCAAACAAATGCTTATATGTGGCTGAATGCAAGACTTGTGCCTGAAGTGTGCTCATTTGAGTTTAATTTAAAGAAGAACAGCAGGTTCAGGTCTTTATTTTCCAATATATTTAACTGTTTATTATTGCTAAGATTGGCTTCTTACATTTTGTCCATTTCAACAAGTAAAATGGATGCAGCTTTCTCTTAACTTTTACAGTGATACTAATAATACGTAGTACTTTGTGAGACCATGTGGCGCTAACTATTCCACCACCCTTTCCCCCAATCCAGGAAAGACTGACTACATTCTCAGCAACTTTTAATCAAATCTAGACAAATGTTGAGAATTTTTCTGATTAAGCTAGAGTGCTTTTTTTTGTTTGTTTCTTTTTTTAACCAAACCTTATCTAGGACTAGAGGTTTTGGGGAAGTAGGAATTAACTTGGGCTAGCAATAGGGAATGGGTGTCAGGGACAGATGACTAGCGAGAATAATAAGTAGGTCAGAGATAGTTTCTTTCCACTTCTGTTTCTGAGGGGTGGCAGGAGGGCAGTATGGGTCAGCCTGGTGTTCCTGGCTTGCTCGGGTAGCTGGGCAATGGAGAAGAGGGAGGATGATTTGGGGAATTTTTTTTAAGTAATTCCGGTGATATAGACAGTAAATGTAATTTATAGATGTCTGATCTATTATGCTTACATGATGTATGTCTATTATTGTCTTCTCTATTTAGATTGCAAATTCTTTAGGGCTGGGACTGTCTCCCTCTCTGTGTCTGTACAGAGCCTAGCGCAATGGAACCCCCTAGGAGCTATCATAATACAAATAATAATAATTATATAGCATTTTTAATCTTCAGAGGACCATATAAACACTAATTAACCTCTTTATCCATGTATTCTTTACTATAAGTATGACATATAAAATGCACCAAGCAGGAACAGAAACAGCTAAGAGCCTGCACAAGGCCATAGAGTGAGTCCGTAACAGAGCCAGAATTAGAAAACTGGAATCCTTAGTTCCCACTTCTGTATTCAGAAGCAAATCTGAATACAGCAAATCTGTATTCTAACGCAAATCTTTCTCTGTGGCCCCAATGAAATGATAAAAATGTATATCCTGAAATAGTTCTTCCAAATAGTTTCTTGTAACTAAGTTGTATTGGTAGATGCTAATCAATGTAGATGGAGTGTTTTTTTTAAAAAAGCTCATTGAAAACTAGAGCTGAACAAATAATTTTCAACCAGCAATTTAGTCATCCGATTTCACTTTTTTGTCCGTTTGTGGATTGCTTATAAACAGATTGTAAAATTCTCAAATGTATTCATTATTCAGAATTATTTACAAATTTCTTCAGCCGATAATTCTTGATCTGCAGATTATTAATGAATCTTTAAATTGTAAATATTCAAAACTTGAGCTCTGTTGATCAGTTATACCGTATAAGTAACATGATATGTTTCTGTTCCTTGACTGAATGACTTCAAGATACAAACAAGTAATGTCAACTGTGAATATTATAATAAAACATATAATTCAAAATTTGCACCATGATAGTACATTAGTTAAGTCACATGGTGTAATTTTTTTTCTCTCATTGGATGACTTATGTAACTAACTAATACTATAAATTTTATAATTGAATGAACAATTCAAATTTATTTTTGATCAATACTCCAGCAATCAAACTTAGGATTCACTTTTCACGGGTATTTCAAACCAGTGAAACTCAAATACTCTATTTTCACAGAACGCAAACACAAAATGGTCACGAACACCAATGTATTGAAATTTGCTTTCTAAGTCAAGAAATTTTTTTACATTAATTGTTGATCTCCATTGAAAATTATTCTCAACCATTTAACAAAGTTGAATACGATCCACACAGGCCAATACAACTACATTACCTGAAACAACTCTCAAGAAGCAATTCAGGATCGGAGACATTTTTATGGGGCTTATAACCAGGTAGGCTGTGGTATATTTCTTGGGTGCACAAGAAATCCCCATATCTGTAGCAAATTCCCATAATGTGGGGATGTTTTGTCAATTCTGTACTTGAGCACTGTTTTCAGCCAGGAGCAGTTGTAATTATCTCTTCTTATTTTAGGAGTTTTTAAATGTTGAGGTTTGATATTCTTGTAGGCCAGTCTTAGCACCAAGAGACTCCTGCATGCAACACTGCCAGTGCACTCCAAACTTGGCATACCGGGGGCGCAATTAAAAAGTTTGGTTTGTTTGAAAGATGCTGGTTCTTTATGCTTAATACAGTAATTCTGTTAGAATGAATCAAGTCTTTCAACCAGGAGAAATTTTAAGGGTGTAAATGTATAGCACTCTTTTTATCCCCGAGCTTGGGCTCCTTCTGAGGGAAGACTCCCAAATGTGTTCAGTTGTGTGTGACATTATTTTGTGCTGGGGCAAATGTCACTTTAAGCATTTTAGAGAGACAAGGAGGGTGAGGTAATATCTTTTATTGGTCGAACTTCTGTTGGTGAGAGAGACAAGCTTTCAGGCTCCACAGAGCTCTTCTTCAGGTCACCTTGTCTCTCTCACCAACAGAAATTTGGTCCAATAAAAGATATTACCTCACCCACCCTGTCTCTCTAATACCCTGGGACCTACACAGCTACAACACTGCATACTTTAAGCACTTAGCACAATACAAACTAGAAGAGAAAGGCTAGTAGTGCATTAACTCTTGTGTAACCTAACCACCCCTAAACTTTGCAGAGAACATCCCCTCTTTGTGACCATATTCAGTACATCATTTACCAATGCAGTAGAAATAGTGAATTGGGCTATTATGAAGGACTCCCACATTCAAGTGCAATCCATGGGCTTCCACTCCCTAAACTGCTGGAGCAAACAGCAACAGAGAGATCACCCATTAGGATCCAGTTGTGCATCCACCAGTCCATGCTATGATGTTCCCCAGCCTAACTGCAATCCCTAATTTTTCTCTTCTGTTTTTGCTCTACTTCACCTGGCACTGATGCCACACCCATCATTATGTGTCTAATTTTATAACAATCTTACACAACACCACCCAAACACACAACAGGACATGGCGGGGGGCAGGGGGGAGATTTGGTCTTGGTCAGAAGGTTTCTTAGATGATTTTCAGTTTTCTGCCACAAATGGAAATGTCTTTTAAAAACGTTATAGTCTTTGAAACAGGATGCTAGGGCTACAAACTGTAGTAAAATTTTATGATTTAATTCCCATTTCTGTCAATGAATCAGCAGTATTAAGGATACGGTAAATCCTTGTAATGGTTGTACTCTGCCTGCTGACAATGAAGGATGGCATGCTGAGTGTCAATGCCTCTTTCTAAGGGCTAGTTTTGTGCACACGGTTGAGCCAGTGCTTTGTCATAAGACCTCTGGATCTTTGCCATCAGAATCAGGGTCAGACTCAAGAAAGCTTCCCTGGTGAAGTAAAACTGGAACATAATGCTACATGTCCAAGCTAGTGTGTCTGTCTACAGCATGTGCATGTGTTATGTTGGGTAACAAGACATGACAGATAGGAATGCTTGATTTCTCAGCAGGTACAGCAGATCGGCTATTTATTTATTTTAGATCTGTTTTCATGAAGATACCATATGTGCCTCATTCAAAAATAAAGTTTTTTTTTATTAGTGAAATTTAATGCAAAAGTTTCTCCATTTCATTTTGGGTGATGGAAATAAAGGGAGGCAGGAAAGCAACTGAAAGAAGGGCATAGCTGGGGCCCTTTTGTTTGTATGTCTGAGGATAGCTAGGATAAAACACCAAAGGACATCTATATGTAAATAGCTAGACCAGCTAATATCTGAATATACTTGACACTTTTAAAGGTTTAAATATGTTTTACAATTTTTATTTGCACAATTTTCAAGACCATGGCCATTTCTGCATTTAGCCATGCAACAATGTGAAAAGCCACATTTGCACAATATTTTGTGCATGTAAACTTCCAAGATGAGGCAGAATAGGTAGAGAGGCCATACTTAAAACTGACCTTTTGATGGGAGAGGCAGAGTGAAAAAAACTAACTATTTATACAGTTACTTATTCCTTACACACACGTACCATGTACAGTTATCTTGTGCTGAGAGAGAAGAGGCGGGAGGAAGCAATCAGGAGGGGAGTGGAGAGAAGACTAGGTGTAGCAGATGGTGGAGGACTGGGTGACAGAACATCAAGGTTTAGGACATTTTACTTCGGATGAGGCACTGAGTTGAGATATTATACTAAAAGCACACACGTGAAAGAGGATATACATGGATTCAAGCCGTGCATAGAGTTCATGACAAAGTGGATGAACCTCAAGAGCAGCTAAAAAGGTGTGCGCTCAACCTTGCAGGTAGGTGCCAAATCCTATGCTCACCCAAAGTGCAAGGCCATCATAGTTAGCATCAATAAGTGCATGCACCCATGGCACAGGGGAAGAACCTGGGGCTCGGGCCCCATCAGGATCGCTTCCCACTGTTATCAGTATGTAGTGAAAGCATTACTGATGTGATGGGAGCTGGTTGTGCAATTGCACACAATCATAGGGCTAAAGGTTATCAAACATGTTTAGCAGTATCAATCAGGAGAAACTAAAGCAGCACAAAGCTAGACTTTCTCCATAAGACACTACCATAGATGGATCAGAGAATAATGGGAGTTTGGTTGACAGATTATGATCCTGATCCCGTATCCAGCCCAACCTCAGCATTTGAAAATGCGCCACAAAAAAGTCATACCCAACTTTGACAATGTTTTCACTTAAGCAAAAAATTATCCATAAAACAATGAATTTTCATGAAAGACCTATTCCCACAAAGGGGTGAATTTGGAGTGCTCTCAGTTTCAGTATGAATATTTTGTATAAATACACTAAAGAGCATAGTAAAAATAAAGTACACTAAACATCAATAATGACTAGTTAGCTAAAATACAGTACTGGGCCAAAATCTGGTCTCATTTTAATGGGTGGTAGCTTCCAATTCACCCCATTCCTGAGAGTATATTCTCATGAGAAACACATTGCATGACATAAAAGGAAATTATTTCTGGACAACAGTGGAGGATATAACTAAGCCATTTCAGACATTTCTAACACAATGAATATATATTAAATTATATAAGAAATATGTGTGCATTAACATTTCCTTTTCTATTTTGTGGGGATTGAAACTCTTCTTCCATAGGTGGGCTTATCAATTTGCCAGGGTTTTGAGTTCTGACCAGTGTGCAGCATGTTATATTCAGGCTGTATGATCTCAACAGGACAGCACAGAAAGGGAACAGACACAGAGGATCAGAAGCAGTCAGGGAACATTAACTGCATACATGCATAATTATTACTACAGTGACCTGATGGAAATTCTGCAAGGAATTCAGAACGTGACTGTGTACAAGGAACATTAAGAATCAAGCCTTTCTTGATCTGTTTTGTGTTTCCAGACATATTTTATCAAGATGATATAATAAATAATATAAATAAATACTAATTCATAACAATATCTTGCATTGTGATTGGACCTTTTAGCAGAGGATATCTGGGGATTTTGATAATGAAAAAGCACTATAATAATATATAAAATCAAGCTGAATATCTCCACATTGTGGCCCAGACAAAACAATATAAAAATCACAAAAGGGAAGATTAGGGTACTCCGACTGCCACAGTCCACACTGTGGACTGTTTTGTGTGTTGATTTTGAACTATTATGAAACTATTGTGACAAATTAAGGAGGAAGATCACCAATGCACTTTAATTGTTATGATTCCATTCCACACTATGCATAATGTATACAAATTAAATGTTGTGTGACAATTTAATATGATTGACAGGTCAGATTTGTGGACTGTAGATTATGGAGTTTCATGATATGCTGAAATTAATAAAACACAATCCACTGATCCATGGTTTTATAGCAGCCTGTCTCAGTCTAAGGTCAAACTAGAAAAGTTTTCTGACAAGTGCTGTAGGTCTGATTCCCTGCTTTTGATGTCAATTAGATGTTTAACTAAATAAGTATGATATAAGCAAGAAGATACTCCAAAAGAAAAATGTAAAAACTACTAATTAAAAACAAAAGTTATGGTAACATAAGTGTCTTTAAGTTTTGCAATAATCCTTCCAGTACTTTTGCATCCCAAAAGACTCCAGATGTGACCAGCCACTGCAAAATGGTAAGTTGTTTATCAGCATTCTACACTGCAAACTGGCACCTGTAATTTCACTCTCACTTTGCATCAGCAGAATTAAGATACCTAGAAAAACCCTACCAAGACAAGTTTCTGTGTATTAATGTATAAACACTGATAGTAAAATGTCCATTCCATCACCCTCAAGGTGAGGTGCACAGAATCAGATTATTCTTCCTTTTCTACTAGTCGTGCGTACTATGATAGAAATGCTTCTTTCTGTAGGATCTTAAGGGTAACTGTCTCAAGCAAAAAGACAAAATGAAAATATATCAGCTACTTGATAGCACTGTTATTAAACAACTGATTTTTTTCTGCTCTTTCAAAGAATATCACCCCAATTCTTATTTTTTTCTGTAGTGGCCACAGGCATCTAAGCATGGGCTCTCCCACCAACTGTCTTTTTGAAAATCTAGGTAACAAACATAATCCTGCAACTAATCCTGATCTAATCATGCAACTTTTACTTGTGTGAGTAATCCTTATTCATGGAGTAGTCTCATGGAAATTATGGGATTGGGTCCTACATAAGTATAATTACGACTAGATGTTATTTTAAAAAAACAAAACCCCTGCCTACGCATACCAAACACTTGTTACTCCTTACTATTCTGACCTATTTACATCTTCACTTTATCCTGGAACAGGGAGACTTTTGCTGGGTTGCTTGTTTTTAAAAACGGCCACCAGGTTCTTCAATTTGTTTCACTGTTTTGAATATCACCAGTGATGAACTCTACAAAAGAAGCCACGCTGTACTCAAATGGCAGATATCTTTGTAGAAAGTCACCTCCTTGTTTGTGCTAATTAATCTGATAAAAATACAGCTGGGTTATGTAAGATATTGTAAAATTCTTTTGCTCTTTGACTCTGCACTCTCACCTACAATTAATAATAATTAAATATGAACATACATTAAAATAAACTCAAAAGCCAAACAGCTAGAATTTAAGGTGGGCACAGAATTCTTAACTCCATCCTTTTGTGCATTAGTATTCTAATACTGTACATATGGCCTGATCCTGACTATTAAAGTCAATGGGAGTTTTGCTATTGTGTTCAGTTGAAGTAGAATCTCTAACCCTGATCCAAGCTTCACACAAATTTGGTGATACTACCCTGGGTTCCACTGTGCTCCATTAAGGATTTGTAATTTATTTGCTACTGTTTGCAATTTATTGGTATTGGAATGGGAATGGTTGAGTGAGTTCTAGGCTCAGCATGTAAAATAAGCTGCCCAAGGTCAGCTGAATCTTAAAAGCTTCTGTTTTTCTAATTTTTCTACAAGGAAAATATATGGAAATTGCTCTTTTGGGCAAGTTCTGCCAACGATCTCTCCCCCGATGGGTGCAATTTTGTGGGTAAGAGCAGAATGATTTCAGGTAATGTGGGTCTCTCATATGAATTACGCACACATCCTAGCTACAAATAGCATGAGGGCAGAATAAATATGTCCCTTATTGTACTTCACAGCTTAGATGGTATATGCTGCAAATGGGCATTTAAACATAATAGGATTTGTATATTATGAATCTTTATTAAAACCCTCAGGCTACTGTTAATATATGGCCAGGGTTTGAGTTGGTTTTTTTTTTTGTTTTGTTTTGGTTTTTTTGGTCTAAATTTATTGAGGATAGTGAGAGTGATACATTGCAATTCCACATTAAGGACCTGATTCAAAAACCACTGAAGTTAATGGGAGGTTTTCCAGTGACTTCAATGGGCTTTGGATCAGACTCTAAGTCCAGGATTTATAACTTGCCAAATAAGAGCCCTTTTCTTGCAAACCTCTTCTCATATACAACGCACATGTATGCAGGACTGGGCTGTTAGTTTTAAAAAAGGAACCTGGTTTTGGATGATAGGAGCTCAAAGAAATCACCCAGAGCCAGTATTCTCCCCATCCCCTCATTCCTATAACTTAAATAAAACCAAATAGATTTAAACCGATGGCTTGATTTTGTCATCAGAAAGATATGTGAGTGAGAATTGCTGTGTATCTTGTAAAAACATGCATGTGTAGAACTATTCCTGATTTTACAAGATACATGGGAATGTGTGCCTACTTACCTAAGCAGAGAAGTGAGCTCAACATTTACCAAAAAATAAATTAAAAAAATCCACCCTCTGGCTGAGACCTTGTCTGCCAAGTTTTAGTTGTGCATTCTCTTTTTCTTTCTTTTTTTGAGGCATATACTCTCCGCTTTTGCACTGAGAGGTGAATATACCCTTTTGTTTACAGTGAAGATTTAGAACCAAATTCCATTTACATCACTGAAACCCTAATGAGGCGATAAATCAGGGTAAGAATATAGTCAAGGTAACTGGATTGTACGGGTCAAAATTAAAGCAGAATTTGGCCCAATAGCTGAAAGTATAAACTAAAGACTGACCAAAGTGGAACACAAGATCAGAACATAAACCATGAATTTGATGAAGTTCAAATTCACATCAAGATCTGAATTTCATGACTGTGGCCTGTATACACAATGGGCAGAACAGAAACACCAAATCCAAACAGCCCTGGGCTTTGATTCCAAACTCCTTGGTTCTGGCCTATCTATAAAGTCCAGAAAATGAAAATGTTGACTGACTTTTAAACCAAAAGGGCCAACTAAAACCATTTTAACTTGTCTGAAAATCCTTGATGAGTGGCCTAAAATTCAAAGTTCAGTTAAAATATCTTCCATATGATGGCGATAAACATTTTTTACACTCTGAAGTGTGACATTTCCATGTAAACTATTCATAAAACAAATTGTTTTTTCTGAAATGCACAAATAAAAATATGTTATTTTGTCAGGACATGGATGTGAAAATATTTCAAATTTTACACAATTGGGACCAATCAAGCAGTACTTGTGCATTGACTTCATTCTGAGTTTGGGTGTTTAAAGGCTGTAGATCTGCGTCTAGTGTTTAAAATAGCACATTTTGTTTAACTTAGGGCATGGCTACACTGGAAACGTCAAAGCACTGTCGTGGGAGTGCTCCCGTGGCAGTGCTTTGAAGTGCGAGTGTGGTCATGCGCGAGCGCTGGGAGGCAGCTCTCCCAGCGCTCCTGGTAATCCACTCCACCAGGGGATTAGCTCTGAGCTCTGGACTATATTGCTGCGCTCGGGGAGGGGTGATTTTTCACACCCCTGAGCCAGCAAGCTAGAGCGCTATAAAATGTAAGTGTAGCCAAGCCCTTAGCTAAAATGTAATGTGAATTCACTTTTTGTTCCTTAGAATTATTCCTTGAGAAAGAAAGATTGCAGTTGGTATCGTGTTGTACGTAACTAGGTAATGTTTAGCATGTTGTTTTCTAGGGGCATTGCTACACTTGCAGACATAGAGCGCTGTGAGTTAAACCTGCCTTTGTAGAGCACAGTAGGGAAAGCGCTGCAGTGTGTTCACGCTGACAGCTGACAGCACACTGGCATGGCCACATTTGCGGCACTTGCAGCGGCACTGGGCGCAATGCATTATGGGCAGCTATCCCAGCATGCAAGTGACTGCAACGTGCTTTTCAATTGGGGGTGGGGTAGAGTGTGACGGGGAGTGTGTTGTGTGTATGGGGGGGAGAGAGAGTGGGTTTTTGGGGTGCTGAGAGTGTATCAGCATGCAGTCTTGTAAGTTCAGACTCCTCCTCCCCCCTGCCCGCCTCTCTGTCACTCACTCAAACAAACAATAAATGGTTGCTTTTTCTCAGAGCTGATAAGCAGCTGGCTTCTCCGAAACGGAGCTTTGAAAGGGCATTTCCTCATTCCTGCAGCCGATTTCCAACAATGACGAGAGTGGCCGCTTGACTTAAGGGGATTATGGGATGTTTCCGGAGGCTGATCAGAGTGCAGTAATGCAACACCTCGTCCACACTGGCGCTGCAGCGCTCCAGCGGGGGCGCAGCAAACGTTATTCCACCTGCCGAGGTGGAGTATCAGCAGCGCTGTAGCTGAGGAGTCAGAGCGCTCTACGTGCCTTGCCACTGTGGACGGCTAGTGAGCTAGTGTGCTCCCGGGGGTCCTTTATTGCGCTGTGACTCACAAGTGTAGCCAAGCCGGAGATATTGCATTTTTCAGTTTCTAAGAGTGTGCTTTCTGCAGAAGCAGCTGCCATTTTGAGAGCTGAAGATGTTGCAACATATGTTACAAAAGAGATACACTGCTCTCCATTTCTCTTTCACAGACACTTTACTTTTGTCTTTCTTGATTAGTTGTTTTCCTTTCATAAAAATAAAGGTAATTTAGACTGGAAGAACACAGTTTCTCAGTAAAACAGAACCGATAGCTAAAAAGCTGATAAAAGCCTCTAAGATCCTAGCCTCTTATTTGCCAACTTGGGGCACTGGCTGAAATGGGAATCTTAAGTGAGCAGAGACGGCAAAATCAGATCCTCACCTGTTTAGCTGTAAGCAACTTATCTTTTTATTGCTATTCTATGGAATACTTGCCTAAATATTAAAGGAAATAAAATATCAGTCACTAAAACAGTAGTTGTTTTTATTGGAAAATATTAAAACAAATAGTAATGTTATCATATATAAACTTTAATATCAACCTCCAAGAGGAAAATGATTTCTGATAGTTAGTGGAAACATAACATGAGGAACATTTTGTCTTATAAACAATATTAATACTGAGATGATGCAAGTAGTGAGATTGCCTAATTTAATTTTGCTGACAGAATACATAATGAGAATCTATGGAATATACAGTATAAACCCATTGTCTTGTAAGCAAAGCTAACGTCTCCAAACTGCACAGCAGCAAGTCCATGATTTAATTGTGAAGCTCTTCCCTCATAGGCAGCATTAATTCCATAAACCACGGATGTTAATTATGTTTATATTATAGAGACACAAACTTAATTGTTATCTCTTTTTTTAAAAAGGTGAACACAGACACTTTAAAAACAAAAAATATCTATTTAAATTTTCAAAGCCGTAAGAGGGAATATACATGTAGATTAAAGAATTACAAATAAATAGATTTTAAAACCAAAATGTTTGGGAATAATCTCCTCCTTCAGATATGTGACAAGACACAAGTTCAAAGTTCTCTGTTTTCTTTGAATTTGAACATTTTACAGTTTCTCATGTCCTTGTAAAACTCTATTGACCCAACAA